CACCCCTCTGCAACAATCTGCAATGGCATCATCCCCTTAAACAAAACCCCCAAAATCTTAGGGGTCACCTAGGATACCCATTTTACGTTCTCTCCTCATGTCAGAGCCATAGCCACCAAAGCAACAGGCTCTTTACGCATCTTAAAAGCCCTGGCCGGCACCAACTGGGGCTTCTCCAAGGAAGACATCATTGCCACATATCGAACAATTACTCGCCCAATCTTAAATTATGCTGCCCCCATTTGGTACCCAGTCGCCTCACGAACCGCAATCGCAAGTCTCCAGATCATTCAAAACTCAGCCTTGAGACTAGCCACTGGCTGCCTCAAGATGGCCCCAATCGCCCATCTCCACCATGAGACCGGCGTCCTACCCCTGTCCGCCCACCTGGACCTGGCCTGTGCGCAATTTCTCGCCAGCGCCCTCCAGCCTGCTCATGCTTCTTTCAACATCGTCTCCGCTCCCCCCGGAGACCGCCCCATGAAAGCCTCAATCAATTCAAGATTCGGCCACCTTGTGGCGCCTTTCCTGGCCGACGGCAGGATGCCCGACGGTGCCTATGGAGAGGCAAAACACTCCCTTCGTAGGGAGATAGCCACCCGTGTTGCGGCGACGGCCGGTAACAACGCGGTCCTCTCAACCCCGCCACCACCGATTGCAGTAGAAGAGGCCTCGCTCCCTCGTCCTTACCGCTCAGCGCTGTCCCAGCTACGCTCTGGATACTGCAGCTCCCTTGCGTCCTACACCCACAGGGTCGGTCGCTCCCTTAGCGCCGCTTGCCCGGAGTGCGGGGATCCCCTCCAATCCGTCCAGCACCTCTTTGCCTGCCCCGCCTTCCCCACGTCCCTCAGCGTCTCATCATTGTGGGACAACCCCGTGGAGGCGTCGACGTTCCTGGCCGCCCTCCCTGCTTTTGCCCATCTCCCTCCTCTTCCGGTGCCGCCCCTCCGACCACCACCAGAGCCTCCACCCACGCGAGCGTGACGTTTGGCGCAAGAAACAACAACAACAACGCAATGAGCAGAGCCACCAGTGCAGTGACCCACCTTATGCAGTGACGCAATGAGCAGTGCCACCAGTGCAGTGACCCACCTTATGCAGTGACGCAGTGAGCAGTGCCACAAGTGCAGGCAGCAGTGCAGTGAGGCAGCACAGACGCAGTGCATTGAACATGGTCACGAGGCAGTTGAAGTACTGCGCCAGAGGGGGGAACTCCTGTAGCTCCAGGGGCGCTCGCCCCCCCACCTCTGGTCCCACTACCTGCAAAATAATTCTCTAATGAAATATATGTAATATATTACATAATAATGTATGTAATATTACATAATACTGTATGTAATTACATAATAATATATGTACCTATGTATAATGACAAAACAGCTGTTGCGTCATTGCGACCAATCGAGCTGGCAATTTTCAACGCCTTGCTTCAGCGGCCAATGAGAGATATCAGGGTGGAGCTCTGATTTTTACGCATCCAATGGTGTAACAGCATGCCTGTATGTGTGTTAGTTTGTACGTAATCTGGCTTTTACTACGACGCGATCATTGGCCGCCGCGCTCCAGCGATGTGTTTCTAGCCTCGCACATGCTCCGATATCGATCTGCGAGCGTCAGTTAGTCTTGAACTTTGCTGAGTCAAGGTGCTGCGAGTGTTTCTTTGTTTACAATTTAAATTCCTATCAGGTAAGATGCCTAAACGTAAAAGGTATAATATAGGTAAAGGTGGGTATGTTCGACCTCGTGGAGGTCAACGAGAGCCACCTGTTGAGCCGCCTGCGATCGTCAATCCCCTTGCACGCCGGCAAGAAATACTTGCCATTGCTCCAAGCATGCAGGATGCCGGTGTAAGTCAGGTTGAGAAGGCCGGTAAAATGGTCCTTCTTCCTATTGACTTCGTGGAGAAGATTTTGAGCTCCAAGTTGAATTGTTCCGAATGTGACAGCGTTTGTGATGTTACGGTGAACGCAATTCACGCGGAAGCTTCGATTTCCACCAAATGCCAGGCTTGCGATGCGAAGCAAGATTTGTATAAGGCTGAACATGCGAAGAAAATTGACGGTAGTGTGTCTCCATTCACTCTTCGCAATCTTACCCTTATATACTATTCACTAATGAATAGTGATGGCTTAGCCGGGTGCAAGCGGATCTGTGCTGCCCTGTCAACCGATGGCTTCTCAAACGAAGCCTTCTCTGGGCATTGTGCCTTTCTCTTCAGTGAAATGGAGAAGTTCTTTGCAATGAAGCAGAATGAAATGATATCAGCTCTGAAGCGGACTTCTTCTGAGAATGGGACTTACCAGGAAGGCGACGAATTTCTCGACCTGGATGTCAGCTTTGACGGGACCTGGATGACTCGCGGTCACAAGTCGCACATTGGCATCGGTTGTGTAATTGAACTTGAAACCGGCTTTGTGCTTGACTTTGAGGTCCTGTCAAACTTCTGCCAGGAATGCTTCAAGAAAGAGAAAGCCCTGTCCCCGGAGGAGTTTGCATGCTGGAAGGAGACGCATGTNGCACTTAAGACGTCGTAAGCTCACTGCACTTAAGACGTCGTAAGCTCACTGCACTTAAGACGTCGTAAGCTCACAGCACTTAAGACGTCGTAAGCTCACTGCACTTAAGACGTCGTAAGCTCACTGCACTTAAGACGTCGTAAGCTCACTGTTAAGACGTCGTAAGCTGCACTTAAGACGTCGTAAGCTCACTGCACTTAAGGCCAATATCGTACAGGGACGCTGAGGCTAGCAGGGCAGGCGTCCAGGAGGCTGTAGCAGCTAAGCGCTTCGTCGAATTTATGGCTGGCCGCCCGTACGCCGCGCCTCAGGTGCCGCACGCCCGCCTCCTGTGTACGGGAGTGAGATGTATCACATGTATGAAGTAAGGAAAAGCATGTAATGTATGAAGTGTATGACAAGTATGAAGTATTAGAACAATGTAAAGTAAAAGGTGTGAGAAGTATGAAGTGTGAGTAGTATGAACTGTTGGAAAGAATGAGTATGAGAAGTATGAAGTATGAGAAGTATGAAGTATGAGAAGTATGAAGTATGAGAAGTATGAGAAGTATGAAGTGTGACAAGTATGAAGTATGAGAAGTATGAAGTATGAGAAGTATAAAGTGTGAGAAGTATGAAGTGTTAGAAGTATGAAGTGCGAGAAGTATGAAGTATTAGAAGTATGAAGTGTGACAAGTATGAAGTGTGAGAAGTATGAAGTGTGAGAAGTATGAAGTATGAGAAGTATGAAGTGTTAGAAGTAAGTATGAAGTGCGAGAAGTATGAAGTGTTAGAAGTATGAAGTGTGAGAAGTATGAAGTGTGACAAGTATGAAGTGCGAGAAGTATGAAGTGTGAGAAGTATGAAGTGTGACAAGTATGAAGTGTGAGAAGTATGAAGTGTGAGAAGTATGAAATGTTGGAAAGAATGAAGTATGAGAAGTATGAAGTGTGAGAAGAATGAACTGTTGGAAAGAATGAAGTACAGGGTGTTTCAGAATTAAGTAACCCTTTTAATTTGTTAATAAATAAAAAACTAAGAACGTTATGAAGTTGAAACTTGTTTTATTTAAAAGAAGAACATTTTTATGGTAATATTTTATCATAGTTACGTCATTATCCTGTATAGCTTGCTAAATTTGTGTTTAATTATCAAGCCTTAAATTTTCATCATGATTCGCTACAGCAAAGAAGAAAGAACAAAAA